ATTGTAGAGGGTCTTGATGAAGGTATAAGCCATACCACCACCGATGATCATCATATCGACCTTGTCGAGCATGTTGTTGATAAGTTGGATCTTATCCTTAACCTTAGCGCCACCTAATACACTCAACACGGGGCGCTCAGGGTTCTCGAGGGCCTTGCCAAAGTACTGAAGTTCCTTGGCTAGCAAGAGGCCAGCAGCACGGATAGGGAGCTCGACGCCGACCATAGATGAATGGGCACGATGGGCGGTACCAAAGGCATCGTTGATGAAGATATCACCAAGCTTGGTGAGGTCGGCCCTGAAGGCAGCAACAGCCTCGGGGGAAGCCTTCACCTTCTGACCATCGACCACACCCTTGCCCTCCTCTTCAACATGGAAGCGGAGGTTCTCGAGGAGGATGATGCTGCCGGGGGCAGGAGAGGCACAAGCCTTAATGGCAACATCGCCAACGCAGTCCTCGACAAAGGTAACCTCATGGCCAACGAGCTCGGTAAGGACGGGCACGACAGGCTTCAAGGAGAACTGAATTACAATGACTTAATACGGAGGGGCTTGTTTGTTGCATTACCTTCTCAACCTTGTTGCCCTCAGGCCTGCCTAAATGGCTCATAAGAACGATGCTATTGGCACCCATCTCGAAGACCTTCTTAATGGTAGGTATGGTAGCAACAATACGGGTCTTATCGGCGACCTTACCGTCCTTAACAGGGACATTGAAGTCCACACGCATGAGGACTCTCTTGCCCTTGATCTGGCTCTCGGGCAGATCCTTCAGGGTGGCCTTTTGAGACAACATTTTCAGAGAACTTACGAGACACTAGACTTCTCTCTATAGCGCAATGCGATTTTGAGCGGAGCGAAGCGTGCCGCGAATACCGTTTTCTCAAAACATGTAGCCGTCGCCGAGTTGTCCCACTGAACCCAAGCCCATCAATTTCATACAACGGTTACTGTCGTGTCCACTTCCTTGACATTCATGGTGTGACTCTGTCTCCATTCACAGGGAATAAATTATCGATTTCACTTCGTGTATGTCGGGCATCTCTTAACTCTGCACCATCATCGTCGACTAGATGTATTAGC